CCTCTCTCTCTCCTCCTCCCTCCTCTCTCTCTCTCTCCTCCCTCCTCTCTCTCTCTCCCTCCCCCTCCTTTCCTCCCTCCCTCTCTCATCTCTCTCTACCTCTGTCTCTATTGCACTTTGTCCTCTCTGCACATCTCCCTCATCTTCCTTTTTCTCAGCAGAGTGGCAGTGATGGGCACAAAAGCTGAACATGCTACTCAACACCCCCATCCCCATTCTACACACACACCTCCTTGAGTCACACACCCCGAGTCTCTGGATGGACTCCCAGCTCCAGGTTCCCAGGAGAGAGAAGGTAATTGGCCCAGCTTGGGCCAGGTGACCAGGTCTAGCTGCTCCAGTTAATTGAGACCAGGGATTTGAGTGATTGTCTTGGCTGCTTAGGGCCCTACTAGGAGGAGGGTTCTCTACTTTGCTAAGTTAGAGGCAGAGCTGGGGAATAACACAGACCCACTGGTTCTCATCATGGAGCACTTTCTACAACACCTATCATCCTTCCCCCTGAGGGATGCTGCATACAGTTGTTCAAGTTGTGCACTGCACAACCCTGGGCAGCATTGTTGGGCGGGGGGCACAATCCACACTTTAGGCATCATAGATCTGCATGTTTGTTATGCCAGTTTCTGACAGTTGGAAGTAAAAGAGCCTTTGGGAAGGTGAGTCTTCTTAATTTGGAAAAAAAAAAAGGTGCTAGATAGGTAAGGGATGGCCCTGCTTTCTCCACTTCTTTTGTCTTGGTCCCTCTGGATTATGGGAAGAACTGAGGGTGGGAAGGAGCTACTCCAGACCTTGGCTCCAAGATCTGACCTGCCTGTCTCCCCACAGGTGGGGGCATCCTTGTTTGCCAGCAACGTTGGGAGTGGACACTTCGTTGGCTTGGCAGGGTCAGGTGCCGCCGCGGGCCTCTCTGTAGCTGCTTATGAATTTAATGTAAGTGTTTTACCAGGGCACGGACAGCTCCCCCACTCACCCTCTATCTAATAGGTAGATCCTGGGCGTCAGTTGTGTGACTGCCCTGCACTTTGGAAAACAGGAGTGCTTTCTGAAAACACAAACACAAACATCAAGGGTGCTCTCGGTTCGCAAAATCAGTTTGATCTAGAAGTCTCAGGCCCCCTCCCTGTGTTTGCTTGATGGGAGCCCATAAGGCCATGACCCCAGCACACATACGTGTGAAGAAGGTTCAGACTCTCCCCCACGTGGGTGCAGAAGATGGAAGGTATCGTGGGACTGGAGGGTATCTCTGTGTATTATGTATCAATTGACCATCACAAAAATGATGGGATTCAGTGGTTCTTGATCTTTTTGCCACCTCATAGATACCAAAGAGATAGGATGCGGTCTCCTGTGCAGCAGGGCTCATTCAGGATATGGTTTTCACAGAGTGGGAGGGGATATGCTTATTAACAGTGATCTTCATCGTCATGATGACTAACATTTTTAAAGTGCTTGCTCTGTGGCACAGACCACATCCATCATCATATTATGGGACTCAATTACAGACTAGAGCCAGACTGCCTGGGTTCACAGCTGGGCCCTAAAACCTACACTCTGTGTGACCTTGGGCAAGTTGTTTAACCTCTCTGAGCCACATGTCTAAAACAAGAATAATGGTACCTGCTATATCGAATCATTACGAGCACTAAATGAATGAACGCTTGCAAAGTGGGCAGAGGAATGCCTGGCGTAGAGTAAGTGCTCAGGGAGCACCATCTCACTGATTTCCTTGCCACAGCCCAGAGGGGCTCTGTGATTCCGATTTCACAGGTGAGAAGAGTGAGTCTCAGAGACCTGTGTAAACTCTTCCAGCATCACCAGCTACTCATCAGCGTGGCCCCTCTGACCTCACAGCCTTGTTTTAACCACCGTGCAAGGAGGGGAACCAGGGCAGGGGGAGGGGACAAAGTGTGTGAAAGGGGGATGCCAGGTTTAGGAGACACTGCACTAGTTCCGCCCTTCCCTGCTTCATCCATGTCTCCCATTTACACGTGGAAATACGAAGGCCCAAGGAGAGGGAGCGACTCAGTAAGCAGAGATGGAGCCAGAGGCGGAGCCAGGCCAGGCACCGAGGGAAATCCAAATGCGCACCACGATGTCCAGAGTCCGGACTCTGTTTCCTCCTGCAGGGCTTGTTTTCCGTGCTGATGCTGGCCTGGATCTTCCTCCCGATCTACATCGCTGGTCAGGTGAGTCTGAGGGGGGTCGCGGTGCGATGGAATAGGAGGACCCTTTAGGAGCCCTGCCTTCCCTCCCTCCCACCAGTGTCCCCTTCTCTGCCCTGGGACATCCCTTACATAGTCCCTAAGAGGTTCTGCACTGGTGAGGGCTGATGCGTGGTGAGACAATCAGGAACCCTGTCCTTAGCGGTTCCCATCTAGTAATGGACATCGAAGATACACGTGGGGTTTCCAGGGGCTGGAAGAAACGGGGGCTCAGAATTTTTTTTTCAATGCTAAAACACAAATGTAAAAGCCACAGCCTCTTCTAAATGTTTAAGCAGTAACATATTACTGCTTTTAACTAAAAATATATACTTACATATATATTTATGATCCAGTGATTTTTTTTTCTTCCTTTGCACCCAAAACCATAATAACTGAGTTATTTCTGGCTGATGTGAAATGGCAACATTTTTGTTACAAAATCATGCTGCTTTAGGCTTTTTGAAAAAAATCATTTCTGATCTTATTAACAGACTTCTGGAATGCATGCTGGCTAGACTTATTCTATTTTAGATGTTCTACTGGACAGAACAAGATCATACAATGTCACAGGGTTATTCATCAAGAGATAACTGATTTTTTACTTTCTATTATGGAAGTTTTTAAAAAATACACAAAGTAGAAAGAACTACTTAACGACCAGAGAAATCACTTAAAAAATCTCTATGTACCAGAAGTAAGGCAATCGTGGGCAAAGGGCAGTGATGTAGGGAGAAATAATTTTGCTCGGAGATAATACTGAGACTAAAAGCATGAACTTTTGGTGAGTGAAGGGTCTGGGTCTGCCCAATCCCATCTAGACAAAATATCTTAGGTATAACAACTCTGACTGGGAGTGTGGATCTCTGGGGCAAAGCTTCAGTAAGTATTTCTTGAGCACCTGCTATAGGAAGGAGTAAAGGATGGTGCAGATGGAGGTTAGTTCATAGGTAGGGTGGCCAGTCATTCTCAGCTGATGGTCTCCATTTTCTCTGGGAAGTAGAAGGTGGTGTCATCCACTGACAGTGAGGAAGGAACTTGTGCGGCTGAAGGTTAAGAGGCATGAAGAGTTGAAATGACTGCTGTCATTGTTTGTAATCGAAAAACCTGGGGACACCCACAGTGTCTCTCACTGCAGGGCTGGGCATCCATACTGTGAATATCATGCCGGGAAAAGGGCTGAAATTGACAAAGCTGTGCTGCTGGGAAAGGACCTCCAAGCTATATTGTTCAATAAAAGGTTTCTGTGGCTTTAGACAGTCTTTGGACAACATCTCATTCAAAGGGGAGATTTAGCCCAGATCAGATAATAAATGCCAGAGTGCTGAGAAAAGATAAAAAGTTACCCAATCCATTTTTATTGGGAAATAAACACACAGAAAAGTGGTAAAATGCAAATGAGCAGCTTAACAAATTACTGAAGAGTGAACACCCAGACCAAGACACAAAACTGAAACACTCTCCCCTACTGCCTTCCTTTATCCTTGACTTTCATCAAACTCACTTCTTTACTTTTCTTTACAGTTTTAACTATGCATACCTAAGCAGTATGGTAGAATTTTACTGTTTTGGAACAATATATACATGGGATCAGGAGCAACGTACTCTTCCATTGCGTGTAGCCGGCAGGTTAATTTTCACTGCTATGTAGTATACACGTAGTACAATTGTACCCCCAATATGTTTGTCCGTCCTTTTGTTTATGGGCATTTGAGTTGTTCCTAGTGTTATGCTATGATGGACAATGCTGTTATGAACATTTTTATACAAGTGTCCTGATGCATGTAAACGTGCATTTATGGGGGAAATCCACTTATAGGTGGAATTTCTGGGTCTTTGGATGTGTTTATCTGGCTTCAATAGATACTGCCAGGCTTTTTCCCAGAGTAGCTCTATCAGTTTATCCTCCCACCAACAGTGTGTGCAGATTCCGTTTGCTGCCTTTTTCCACATCCTTGAAGACACCTGGTATTTTCCAACTTTAAAACTCTTGCTAATGTGGTGGGTGCATATTGATCCATTGGCAATTCTGTTTCTGTACCTTCCTGGCCATTTGGATTTCCTCTTTGGGGAAGTAACATTTACCAACTTTTCAATTGGGTTACATAGTTTCTTCTTATTGATAGAAGTTCCTTATACATTCTGGAAAGAAGCCCTTAGGTTGACTATCTGTGTTGTAATTATCTTTCTTCCCCTCTTACTCTGTGGCTTGCTTTTAACTCTCTTAATGGTGTTTTTTGACAAACAGACTTTAGTTTTAATGTAGTCCCATGTATCATCTTCCCTTAATTACTAACTTTAATGTCTTGCTTAAAAAAATCTTTTCCTACTTCAAGGTAAAGATATTTTCCTATATTACCTTCTAGGACTTTTCACATTTAAGTCAACGATCCACCTAGAATTGGTTTTTGTCTGCCATATTTTGAGACTAGCATAATGCGAAGATTTCCCATCAAGAAAGTTACAGGCCAATTTTATTTATGAATATGGAAAATGAACTATCCTCCTAGGGGCCCATCCAAGTCTCCATCCACAGTACACTTCTGTCAGTTCATCATTTATTCGTTCATTGAAGAAGCATTTATTGAGCTGGATGCCAGCTGTATTCCAGGTACTGTCCTAACGACTCCTCATCCTCACCGGGTTCTCTGCTTCCCCAGCCCATCACAATGCTTCCCCTTCCGGCTGGAAGCTTCCTTTTCCTTTGTGGTTCAGTGAACTCTATTCATCTTCCAAATCCTACTCCAAGCAACCATTCCTCCAGGAAGCCCGTTTGGAACTCTCTGAGTAGGTGAAATCTCCTCCTTCATTGCATTTACATTTGCTTTTGCATTTGCTTGTGTGATTGTTAAATTAATATGCCTCCCTTGTTGCGGAAAATGTGTTACAGCTTGGTGTTATAGCTCAGTGTTTCAGCTCAGTTGTGACAACAACCTGGATCCAGGGGAGGGAGCTCTCACAGAGTTGGAGAAGTCAGGTTTATTATGTCAGCAGGCCCAGAGGAGTTAACACTCCAAGCTCTGGACCCCATCTGTAGGTTTGCACAGGCTTTTATAGGCTGCCAGTTTACACTTTGCAACATCATATGCAAATAGAGTATAACAGAAGTTGGCCAACCAGGAACCAGCTTTGTAGAAATAGACCAATCAGGAGTGAGAGAAATAACCAATCAGGAGTGAGCTCCATGTAAATGAAGTACTACAAATGGACCAATCAGAAGTTAGGGAAGTAGACCAATCAGAAGGGAGAGTAATAACCAATCAGGAGTGAAGGAAATAACCAATCAGAAGTGAGCTCAGGGAACCGATAGAATTTTAGGGGAAAGTAAGCTATTTCAGAGGCAGAAAGTGAGATAGAGCCTCTGGGCCAGGGAACTGGATGGTGCCGGCAGGAGAGTAGTGGCCCTGCTTGGGGTTCCTGCCTGTCTTTTTCTGGGGCTTCCCGCCTTACCTCATCAGATTGTGTGCCTCTCCCACTATTCTAGGCTTTCTCAGCATCAGTAGCAGTAACACTTGGGGCAGGATCATTCTTTGTTGTGTGTGTATATGTATGTGTGAAGGGTGTTCCACACACTGTAGGATGGATGTTTGCAGCATCCTCAATCTCTATCCACTAGATGCCAATACCCCCCAGACTGTGGCAGCTGAAATGTCTCCAGACATTGCCAAGTGTTCCCTGGGGAGGTACGGAATCTTCTTCCTTCCACTGAGAGCCATTGCACTAGACTATGTGTCTCTCCCCTTAGACTTTAAGCTCCAGGAGGACAAGAACCATCTCTGTTTTCTCCCAGTGTCCGGAATAGTGCCTGGCACACAGTAGATACTTGAAAATATTTGTTGAAATTCCTTGATAGCAGGGCCCACGATTTCAGAAGGAAGTGAGGTAAGGCATGAGATGACACCCAAAAAAAGAGGGACTGGAGGTCTTGGTCAAGTCCCAAAGCCAGGGGTCAACAGAGTTAGCAAATGAGAGGGTTGCACTGATAAAAATTTTGGGTATTGTAAATGAACAGGGTCCTGGAGATGACAAGGTTTGGATGTGGGTCAGAGAAATGGGTTGCTGAAGAGGAAATGCCGTCCCATTGCTGGGGCTGAGCAAACTCAGATACTGGGGTTCCGTGTGGGTTCTCCACACTGTCCTTGAGGCTGCTTCCAGACTGGGGGAAAGTCAAGAAAGGGAGGAAGACAGCAAAGGAGCTGAAATTCTCATTGCTGGGGCAGGCAGAAGTTGCTATTGCCAGATGGCAGGGGTATGGGAGGAAGGGAGGGGTTTTACATGAGGATGGAGTGTGGCAGTCTGGATGCAAGTCTAGAGGGAGTAAGCCAGATGCTGAAGTCCCCTGGCCGCTCTCCACCCCCAGGAGAGAGAGCAAGCCGTCTCCAGAGCAAGGAACTAGGGCGGTCCTCTCCGGGGCAGCTCCCCACCTGCTGCATTTGTTTCCTGTTGGTTCACCCAGCGACGCCCAGATGGTGGTTCCTTTAACAGCCAGTCATTCTCTGTCTCTGTCAATCTGTCTCTCTCACCCTGGCTTGCTAGCAAATTGCCTTCTTAGCTACTTTAGAACAAACGGCCTGGGCTCTGCCTCCCATCTGTCAGCTAGCTTCACATTTCTCCCTGGAGTTTGATTT